GGGTTTTTGTTCCGTCATCAGGAAGGTTGACTCCCGGTTGTGGGCAGGTAGGGCAAAAAAAACCCATCTCCCCCGGCGTCGGAGCCTTACCTTTGTGTCCAAATCCAAAAGTAGCCAGTTCGGTAAGATTACGGTATTGTCTACCAACCCTTATTAACTCGTGATACCGGTTCTGTCAAACGTTTTGAGATGGGAGTATACGAGGTACTTGAACAACATACCGGAATGGAATTAGGAAATGCAAAGTTGGTGATCCTTCTCAATTTGGAGTAGTAGTGGGTGGCCGATGTTTTACATTCCAGGTTTTCCAGCAGGTAGTCATCGAGGAGTTGGAAGGTAAATACGGTCTGGCAAGACTTGTAGGTGGATGGGTACAACCCAACCCGGAACAACTGTATGTCCTCGGCTGCTGCACCAGAACATCCACAGAAGACGATAGGTAGGTGATGCACACTGGAAGTATGGACGACGGTCATGACCCGGCCACCATTGTAAATACGGTCCGTTGGTTTTGGATCGGCTGAAGTGCTGGTAAGGTCTTCCATGTCAAACCATTCCTCTTCGTCAATGTCAAGGTCGGCACTCAAGTTGGTGCTTCCATTCGGGCACCGATCACCTTCGTGACCAAGTCGAATAACCAAACCCACTTTCCACAGCCAGCTCGGCTCATAAAAGGTGCCGGTCCAACGTTCAATCCGGTGGAAAGGGTCCCTGCAGTGGGATGTTCGGCAACATTCTGCACAATATGCCGTGCCGGCAAAGCAATCGAGACATCGCCAATTTGCCTCCTTCTTGCAAGAGATACAAACCCGCTTTGACGCTTTCCTATCCAAAAATTCGTGGAGGTATAGATTACGCTTAGTCTCTTTCCAAACCCTCATGTAATCATTGGATGACTGATAGTGTATTAGCGTTCAGTATATGAATATATTGGAAGAGGAATTTCACATTTCTGTAAGGTTGATGATCCTCGAGAGGAGGAGCATATTCAACGTATGGCAAATCTTGGTGTTCCCTTTCAATGTCTCTTTCCAGATGGCTGCAGTTACGTTTTTTCACGGGGGAAAATGGCAGAGAGGGAATAGTGGAGGAGGGAAAAGACCTCCTTCCATTTTTGATAACAAGCCTGTTGAAGTGAGGATTAGCGATGTTGCTGTGTGCTTTTCTTCCCATGTTTGTCTACTGTTGAAATGGCCAAAGGATATAATGATGATGTGTAGTGGGAAC